CTTACGAGGAAAATATTACCACGCCTTTACGAGGAAAACTTTCCTCGTAAATTCGCTACAACCTTACGAGGAAAATGTCTTTACGATGAACGTGTTTCGAGGAAACGCGTTTCCTCGTAAGTTCCTAGTAAAAGGCCATTTACTAGGAACTAACGAGGAAAACCCGTCCTAGTAATGGACGAGTTTTCTTGTAGTGTGAGATCATCAAATCCTTATGAAGTTTCAAAACCTCTTTAATAACATTACCACCTACTCAGTATATTTGTTCAGGAATTATGTGTTCGATATTTACAGATGTTGGCTAAGGCATAAGTTGCCTCAAATTTTTAAATGCTCAGCCAAATAAGCTATCTAAGTTTATATTTATTCAAAAAATCAAAATTATTTAGTTTTGGTTTTTAATGCATTACGTTTTCATCCTGCATTTTGGGGTTCCACTTTGTTTTCTTTTGTCTATCACAATTTTCTGTTACTGATACTTAATTTCGCAAAGGCAAACAAAAGTTATCTAGATGAGTTAAGAAAGGAAAATAAATCAAATAAAGAGGAGCATCGTGTTAGCTTTGCTCTCTGGGTGCTACACTATAACTGTATCTTTATGCACATGCGCTACTTTATATTAGTTTGTAATCCAATAGGCGTAACTAATTAGCTTTAGTTCCGTATTGTGTGGGTTCATAACCTTTCATGAATTTGTCCCACGATGAATTATTCTTTTCGATTTAAACTCGCTTAGCAAACGTCATATTAACTTAAAATGTATATGAACTTTAACATGAAACACGTCATTCAATGTTGATGTAAGATAACCAAAAGCGTATATAATGAATCTTTGAGTGTGTGAGAGAATCGTCATGGGCAGCAGCGGAAGAGTGTATTCAGAGAGGTCAGCATTTTAAAGTATGTTTCATTATAAGTGTATCCCAACCCAAAAATATATTGATATATTCTATCAAATTTCTTTCAACCAATTCAATAAATCGGAACACTATTGAATATACTTGAACTACTTAAATCCAATTCTTATTCATCCAATCGAGTTGAACTTTTTGAACATCATAGAATCTGATTGGCTAATAAGAATTGAAAATTTACATTTTGGAATATACAGTATATAGTTCAGTTCAGTAATAAATGAAAGCCTAGGAGAAGGGAGACACAATGGGTCTTAGGGTAATCACGAAGTAGGAGTAGCTGCCAGTCTCATAATAAACCCTCTGTCTCTATAGCATCCAATGATGAACAAAGGTCTGTTAATTATAAAAATCTCTTTATTCTTTCTCGCTTTACTGCTTTTTTTTTTACTAGTTTAATTATCTTTTTTTTTAAATTAATTTTACACCGTATCATAAAGGTGAATTAGTGTAATGACTAGATCGAGAACATAAATTTGAAAGATAACTATGTAATAAAATAGTCAATGGAAAATGAAAATTTTGCATAATGTTGGACAAGTTTTTTTCTTTTGCTACGCGTATATGTTTGATTGTGATGTATAAAACTGACAAAATATAATATCCTATATTATTAAATAAATACTATAGAATAATCAGTTCATATATATTAATGTGCATTTTCAACCAAATATTCAATTGTTCAAAAATATTCCCAACTACGAAAAAAGTAAATGAAAAATGTGCACAAGTCCAACTATATTATATCAATTTGCTTTAAATGATTTGGTTAAATACTAGTAATACCGGTTTGCACACCTCTATTCATGTGACAAATCATGCACCTATGTACACACATGTATTTACTGTATGTAGTTTGGATGTAATAAATGAGTCAACATGTAATTTCATAATAAAAGGTTAAAAGTGAAAAAAAACGATAGAAGAAGTACTTGCTACTCCCACCTTCATCATGATGATGATCAACAGACCATTTTGCATGTACGTACAATTATGCACTGTTATAACCATCTTATTAAAGTTTTTAGCTGATCAAAGTATATACTTAGCGGGGAGATGGTGTTAACTGTAAACTCTCTCACCCGTGTGAAGATGCAAGGAAGATGGTGTTTGTTTTGACTGTGATTATACTTACGTGACCACCTGTTTCCCTATCTTAATTTCCGTCACTCCTAGTGAACATGAATGAAAGAGCAGAGACCAAAAGGAAAGACAATGAGGAAGAAACATAGACAGTTTTCATTCATTACTTTTTTATTTATTACACCAAGTTTAGCAGTTATACAGTTACAGATCTTTAGAGAAAAGGGTTTCCATCTGCAATCCAATCAAAACCACCCTTTAGAGAAGACTAATAAGACCTAAGGCTAAGGCCTTGGTCACCACGAGTGTGTGGCCAATGCATATTCGTTGAGTCTCCACCCAAACAACGCCTTTTCTTATATATGCCAATAGATTAGACCGTACAAAGCTTGACAGGATCATGGAAGTACATGGCGCAAAACAGGTTCAACCTTTGATATACCTCTTTTCAAGGTTCTGAACTTTGTTCTGCGACGGGAACATCAGGGAAGCCCAGTTAGACGAGGGAGGTTCTAAGAAGGCTATTTCAGTAACATTTTAAACAAAACAGTTACTCTTACAATAAAGAGAGTGTTGCAAACTAAACATGTTTGCAAATGATTAAAAAATTGTTTCAGGACAGCTCCCAGGAACCAGAACTTAATATATATATACTAATCAGTTTTAAGGTGAGTATGATGAACCTATGTTTAAAATGGCGCTCGCCTTTTGCGCCATGGCGCAAAAGGCGAGGTCAGGCGAGGGGTCTATTGCCATGAACCTCCAAGGCGAGGGTATGGTTCCTAAGGCGCTCGCCATTGTGCGCTTTTAGCTTAAATCTAGGGCACCAAAAGCGCTTGAAAGGCGCGCCTTATAGATTCCCATCAAAACATTATGTTTTGACCTAACTCAATTCATGTCCTATGTACGTAATCATGACATGGCCGCTGTCTGTTACATACTCTAGGTGAAGATGTTACATACTCTAGGTGAAGAAGACGACTAAGTGTAACCTAATTAACCCTAAATAATACCTCTACCCGGTTTAATACACTAAACCATGTATATTTTCAATTTATTCTAATGAACTAACGTAACTAATAGACTAATAAACCAAAAAGAAACCAAGTATGAAGGTTTTTTCAACCAAATGAAACAAATTTCCAGAACTGAAAAGCATCCAAAGGGAGCGCTTTAATGCGCCATGGCGCAAGGCGCAAGGCTAAGAGCATATCACCTTAGTGCGCCTAGCACTTTTTAAAACACATGACATAAACAGTCTTAAAACATTCAAAAGACAAAACACACAAATTAATTAGATTATCCGAAAGAAGAGGATCATCAACATTCTTTCAATTAGCCTGGTTGGGTGCTTGGTTCATAGTTGCAGTAAGCTTGGAAGATATGAAGAGCACACCACTGGGGCAAACCATCTCTGATTCGGAGAAGAAGCGTCTTTTTCGAGCTCGTGAGCTTCTCGGATTCTCACATGTTTGAAGTATCTATCTTTTTGTCCCAAGACATGAGCAGTTTGGTAGTAACAGGCCTTGGCCCATTCTCCCAGAGCGAAAACCACAGCAATTTTCTTCTCCAAATCAATGAGAAAACTCCCAGAAGCAGGGTCAACCGAATAGCCAATGTTCAGTTTCAAAAACTTAGTCCAAGACACAGCATCAGGACCAATCTTATCCGTAACACTTATCTCGATTCTCGCACGTGTATCCCAGTGTTGATACAACACAGCGAGCTGCTTCTCTTGACTAACACAAGAGAGAGACAAAAAACGTGATCCCCTGTAAGAATGAAACTCTGGCAGAGGCAGAAGCGGTCCGAACCTCTCCGTTGTGAAATCAAAACAGACAAAGGAACCAACAACACTCGCACCAAAATAAGTGTTTCCCTTCAAAGACACGCTGTGTCGACGAGACCGTATCTTCCACTCGGGAGTTACATCATCAAGAACCTTCCAAGAACTCGAGCTAAAATCGTACAGTTCGAAACCTAAAACGTGTTGACTTGTAACTGGATGAATCTCATCGGAGATCCTCAGGATCTTGTGGTTAAGGTTATTGTTGTTGTTGTTGTCGTATCCGAGAGCAAACCTGTCTGAACTCTGGAAACTGTTTCTAGGTTCGATCCACCTCGTTTGACCTAAGTAAGGATTCCAGAACAAGAGCCTAGAGTAATCTTTAAGGACGCATAGTAACAAGCCATCACACTGAAACACCTTAGAGATCTCAATTTGAGCAAGTACGCTTACTTGTTTTATGCATGCGTCGCCATCTTTGGAGAGATCTAAGTTCATCAAACAAATCCTCTTCGAGTCCATCATCAAGAAATGCTTCTTTGCTTCTTCTCCTTCACCCAAAAAGATTCGATTTTTACATAAAGTGTTCCACTCTCTGCAGGTAGATCGCACTGATCTCAGAGATTTCATGGGCAGCCTAGAGAATATCTCATCCGCTACCAACTGCTCTGGAAGATAATCCAAAATTGTCTTCATTCTTTTAGGGTTTCTTTCTCTACTCTGCTCTACATACTTTGCCGGAGTTTTATCTTTACTCACAGTCGTGGTGATGAAGTCGATTGGGCCGTTCCATTTCTACTAATGGGCTTCTCATGGCCCAACTAATAATTATATAAAGATTTAGTACGTTTTAGATATGCCTAGTATGAGTATTCCAAAAGGAAAATGTCTACTATATATTTTGGGGTTATTGGTAAAAGATTTTTTTTAAAAATTTTGAGGTTAGTTAATTGGCTAAAGTGCCCTACCTATAATTAGAGAATTGCCCATGATGTGACTATCACTTTCCTTTGGACCATTTTGCCCTTTTCTACACTCTCTCTCATCTCTTTGTCATCTCCTCTCCTTTTTTTTCTCTTCAATCCCTAATTATTTTACAAATCTCTATCATTCTATATACAATTAAATTTTAAATTTCATTATTTTTTCATAAGTGGCTTTGAATCCTCAATTTTGACCTTTTTTTCTCTCCAATCCCTAATTATTTCACAAATCTCTATCATTCTATATACAATTAAATTTTAAATTTCATTATTTTTTCATAAGTGGCTTTGAATCCTCAATTTTTGATGATATCAATTTTATGGGTTTTAGATTCGACGTCGTGTTAGCGGTTAACAAATATTGTAGACGTTAACAGAAGTGTTAGGTGTTAACAATTATTTTTACGCTTCACGTTAATAAATGTGTTCGCTGTTAACAAATATTGTAGACGTTAGCAGAAGTGTTAACTGTTAACAATTATTTTTACTCTTCGCGGTAATAAATGTGTTGGCTGTTAACAAATATTGTAGACGTTAACAGAAGTGTTATATGTTAACAAATGTTTTTACGCTTCGTGTTAATGAGAGGAAAGAGAAAGGACATTCTCGGCATTTCCTTACCAAATGATTGTGTCAGTGTCCTTCATGTCTAATCAAAAGTATTTTGCTAATTTGAGCTTCAAATATGGGTAGTTCACTAAATCTCTCTTCATATTATTGGTTTGATAATTTTCCAAATCTAATGCTTATTGGATTAAGAATTTTAAAATCTATTCAAACTTTTTTTTCAAAAATTTAATTATGATTGATTCTCTAATAACTAGTGTCACTGAAAGATAGATGAATTCTCTCTAATTTTATTTATAAGACACAACTTTCAAAATTGATATAATAAAACAATTATTGTTAACAAACAAAGATAAAGTCAACTTCAATCTAAATTATATGTCATTAAATCATCATATATTATGCAATTGTTTTTTGGTGTATATTTTTTTACTAGTGATGTTTCCATGATAGAAAATAGTTAATGAAAAATCTATAGCATTCTATAAAAATATAGATATGTGAAAAACCTTATGTATTAGAGATGTCATGGTGGTTGTTTAATATGAAAAAAAACCGTATGTATCTTCAGTAGAACCAATCAATAAAATTGTTTATATTGTGTTTAAACTTTAAAGGTTTGAGCAGTCGCAAGTGGCAGAGCCGCATGAAGTAAGGGAGGGGCAGTAAACAGTGTGCAAATGATCAAAGAGAACCTGAACAGGGCATAAGCCACTGGAAAAGAAATTGATTTAATGATCAAAGAGACTTGTTGATAACATATCAAGTATATTTTCAGGACAGTTTACAATAAAGAGAGTGTTGCAAACTAAACATGTTTGCAAATGATTAAAAATTTGTTTCAGGACAGCTCCCAGGAACCAAAACATGATCATAGATAAATATTTGCTAATCAGTTTTTAGGATGAACCTTGTTATCATATATTACATATCACGAGTGACATGAAAAGTCTTAAAATAGAGGCTAAAACATTCAAAAGACAAAACACACAAATTAACGATTATCCGAAAGAAGATGATGGTTGGTTGCTTTGTAGTTGCACTAAGCTTGGAAGATATGAAGAGCACACCACTGGGGCAAGCCATGTCTTATTCGAAGCAGAAGCGTTGATTTTGTTCTCAGGAGCTTCTCGGATTCTGACAGATTTGAAGTATCCATCTTTTTGTCCGATGAAATGAGCAGTTTGGCACCAAAACCCCTTGGCCTTTTCTAGCACTAAAACCATAGCAATCTTCTTCTCCACGTCAACGAGAAAACTCTCAGAATCAGGGTAAACCGAATAGCCAAAGTTCAGTTTCAAAAACTTAGTCCAAGACACAGCATCAGGACCAATCTTATCCGTAACACTAATCTCGATCGTCGTCGTACCTGCCAGCCAGTGTTGATACAACACAGCGAGCTGCTTCTCTTGACTACAAGAGAGACACACAAAATGCAATCCATTGTAAGAATGAAACGCTGGCAGAGGCAGACGCAGAAGCGGTCCGAACCTCTCTGTTGTGAAATCAAAACAGACGAAGAAACCTACAACACTCGCACGAAAATAAGCGTTTCCCTTCAAAGACACGCTTTCTCGTCGAGACCGTATTTTCCACTCGGGAGTGACATCATCAAGAACCTTCCAAGAACTCGAGGTGAAATCGTAGAGTTCGGAACCTAAAACTTTACCTCCATCTGGATGATCCTCCCAGGAGATCCTCAGGATCTTGTGGTTAAGGTTGTTGTTGTTGTTGTCGTATCCGAGAGCAAACATGTCTGAACTTTGGAAACTGTGCCTGGGTTCGATCCAAATCGTTTGACCTAAGTAAGGATTCCAGAACAAGAGCCTAGAGCTATCCTTGAGGACGCATAGTAACAAGCCATCACACTGTAACACATTAGAGATCTGGATTTGATCACTAAGTACGCTTACTTGTTTTATAGATGGTTCGCCATCGTCTTTGCGGAGATCGAAGTTCATCAAACAAATCCTCCTCGAGTCCATCATCAAGAACTGCTTCTTTGCTTCTTCTCCTTTACCCAAAAATATTCGAGTTTTACACAGAGCGTTCCACTTTCTGCAGGTAGATCGCACTGATCTCAGAGATGTCATCGGAACCCTAGAGAGTATCTCATCTTCTACCAAATCCTCTGGAAGGTCGTGAATTGTCTTCATCATTCCAAGCTTCAATTAGGGTTTCTTTCTCTTTGCTCCGTGGAGTGGTGATGAAGTCACTTGTCCAATCCTTTTACTGGATGTCCCCTTTTATACTCCTAATTGGTATTTGACCAAAAAAAAAAAAAACTCCTAATTGGTCTCTCATGGCCCAACTAATTTAAACAAGATTTAATACGTTTCATGGCCCAACTAATTAAACAAGAATTTATATGTTTTAGAGATGACTAATATTTATTTTGTGGCTATTGGTAAATTTTTTTTTTTTCAAATTATTTGTTTATGGTTAGTAAAATCCAATGTTAT